ATTTTCGACGCGGTCGCTGCGTAGTCATGCAACGTCAAGTGTGGTGAAGCCAGCTCTGCCGGCACTGGGCTTAAGCCCTTACATAGTCTTCTGCGCATCGCTGTTGGGTTCGTCGTGTCTTGAATCTCTGCTGCTTTAGGTGTTTAAGCCTCTCAAGAAAGCTCTGTATGTTTCTCTACTGATTGTTGAGACATGTCGCGTGTCACTAGAATGGCGGCTTCAAGATCTTCTGCCTAGGCATCTCTACTTTTGAACCCCTGGAAAACGCTAATTACTTTTGTCCGGAAGTCTCTTCTGAATGTTTCTCCTTTAAATAGGGCAATGGTTTTCAAGAACTTTCTACAGAAATACACAGATATACTCTCGCGTTGCTTTTGTTGTTGTTTCTGGCCCACGACTGATACACCGCTTTGTTGTTTTGTTTCTCACGCGTTCGGGCGGGCGGGTGCGTGGGTACTTCACATATCCAGCGTTATGTGAAGTACACGTGGAAAGGGTTTGTTCGATGTTCTTTGTTTTCGTACCTTTGTGTAAGCGTTTGTATACCTCACGCGGGCAGGGGGACTGAAATATACATGCGCACAGGACATTGTTCGTTCCTTCCACGTTCTTTTCATGTGGACAGAGCTGACACGGTTTCTTTCCGATTTGTTTTTAAAAACGGCCTCAGAAGTAGCGACCGTTTGTGCTTTAGTGTTGTTGTTTCGGTTGGTTGGCGTGTCTTGTTCTCCCGATTTTTCTTGTTTACAAGCATTGTGGCGAATGAGCGCGTTTACTTCAGATCACTGACTGTATATATATATATATATATACAAATATAGAGAGAGATGGTTTGACTCGGGATTTCGATGACCCTTGGTGTTATTCGTTCACAGCACGGTCTTAGACTCTGATCGTTGTTGGTCAACTGGGAAGCGGCTTTGGATACCCGTCGCAGTAGAAACAAAGGAAACACTACAGGATCTTGAATTTTGTCTATGCGTGGCAATGGAGGCACAATGTTTGCGTCAACCACGAGTTGAAGGATGATGGGACTGGTGGTGTGGGAGCAAAAAAGGCCGACGCTGGCAGTTCCAATGCAGCTTTTGACCTTCCAGTCGAACAACTTTTCTCACACTCCAATCCAAAATGCGCGTTTTGCTGTAGCGAGATGCGCCACACAAGCATCCTGCTTTGGAAAACATCTGATTTTTGATGCGTCCGGCGTTGCATTTCCACAAACGTTGTTTGGAACGACTCACTCCCAAAACCTTGCTCATGAAAAATGGTATCATTTTTGTGAAGTCAGTTGGATGGTTAGTTGTTCAGTTGGCCGGCGAGTGGCTCAGTTGGCCAGCGGCCAAATGAACAACTGACCCTCCAAATGAACCACCTGAGGTCCATGGAAGGTTATATAGTTGTTCAGTTGGCCGGCCAGCTGAACAACCACATAACCATCCAACTGACTTCACCAAAATGATACCATTATTCATGAACACCTTGGCACCGACTTTTGGCATCAAGAACAATAATCAACTTGCAAGAGCAATGCTCAATGCGCTTCAGAATGCAAACCCCGCACCCATCTGATCAAAACAACGACCATCCATGAAAACAATGGTACATGAAATGCGCACGCATTTGATTACGACTGGTCAGGCTAGCGATGACTCCAACCTAAATGCAACGAACGCAGAGGCACACACAATTGTCAGAGTTCAGGATACGAACTATCATGTATTCGCACAGTCTTTTGTGTGTACGCCATGAAAATCAATCTGTTTCAAACCATGACAAATCTTTTCAAGATTTGAGCCCATTTGTTTTGCAATCGGTGCAATGGTTTTACACACACATAATATATATATCATTTTAGAAGCTGTCACCTGCACAAACTGCACAGTTGACTGTGCTCAGTAAAGTTCAGCGCTACTGTGCAAATTGCACAGTTGCCGTAGTAAAACTGCGCAAACTGCACAGTGGCCGGAGTAAAACTGTGCAAACTGCACAGTACACCGTAAGCTACTGTGGAAAAAACTCGACGCAAAGTCTTTGTTGGGATGAAGGGTTCAAAGAATTTTTTTGGGATGCAGAAGGGTTCAAAAACGTTGTGGAAAAAACTTGGGGTATGAAAGGGTTCAAAATCATTGGGATGAAGGGTTCCAAAACTTTGGGAGGAAGACAGGTTCAGAAACATTGCTTAACAACTTTGGATGAAGGGGTTCGCGGATGAAGGGTTCGATCACAGTCAGGATAAACTACATTCAAAATTGGGACGAAGGATTTTGGAAATGGAGGATTCAATCAAAGTCTTTGGGATGACTTTTGGCATGAAGAGACGTTCTGGTGAAAGACTTGGGATGAAGGGCTCAAAATCTTTCAAAGATTTTGGGAGTTGAAAAGACTCGGGGAATTAAAGGGTGCAAAGTCATTCGGATGAAGGGTCCCAAAACTTTGGGAGGAAGAAAGGTGCAGAAACACTGCTCAAAAACTTTGGATGAAGCGGTTCAGGATGAAGGATTCAAACAAAGTCTTTGGGATAAACTTGTTCAAAGACTTTGGACGAAGGCTTGGCTCTGAATGATTCAATCAAAGTCTTTGAGATGAACGCTTCAAAAGACTTTTGACATGAAGACAGGTTCTGGTGAAAGACTTGGGATGACGGGCTCACAATCTTTCAACTTTGGGTATTAAAGGGTTCAAAGTCATTGGGGTGAAGGGCTCCAAAACTTTGGCAGGAAGAAAGGTTCAGAAACTTTGTTCAAAGACTTTGGATGAAGGGTTTTGGGGATGAAGGTTTCACACCTGTTTGTGAGTGTACAACGCTGAGTATTCCAAAAGCTTTTTGCAAACATATTGCAACCTTGTGAACCTGTCATCATGCCAAACAAAGTCGTTGAATCCTTCCTCCCAAGGGCTTTCAACATAACCTGTCTTCATGCCAAAAGTCTTTGAGCCGTATTGAATCATGATTTGCCCAACCCGCGGATCATGATTCAATGTGTGCGACGCGACACTAAAAATATGCTGGAAAAGCCGGCCCACTAAAGCAGCATCGCCAGCACCTTGGCGTCCTAAATCTACTAGGACGTAAGACAACTTACGTCCTAGGTTTTCGCGCCAGCATATCCAGCACACAGTTGCCATCCCCAAAACCCTTCATCCAAAGTCTTTGAACGAAGCTTTTGCATCCATCTTCATGCCCAAGTCTACCCCAAAGGCTTTGAACACTTCATCCCAAAAATCTGTCATTCAAAGTCTTTGGGCAAACTTTCGGTTTGAGCCCTTTTCCGGGCCCAACCCCGGCCCTAGCACCACAACACGCTAAGCCGTTAAACAAAGAAAACCCTGACACCAAAGCAGCGTAAGAGTGCAAAGCCCAAGCACTACAGCCGCCTCAGAGCACAACAGCACGATACCAAGCAAAGCCCGAGTGTCACCTCGGGGCCCGAGGCTTTCATTTCTTTACACACCTCGGGGCCCGAGACTGTAACTCGGGCCCCAAGGTCTCTAAAAAATCAAAAGCCTCGGGCCCCGAAGTGAAACTCGCGCCGTGCACGCGCCGAGCGCTCCAGCAAGGCAATCAAAAGACCAAAGAGCAAGGCCAGGCAAGCGCAAGAAAAGAGCAAAGCAAAGGCAACCAACCACGGAAGAGCAAGGCAAGCAAATTGACAAAGGGGAAAAGCCAGGTAAGGGCAAGAAACATAAAGAGCAAGGAAGGGCGAGAAAACAAAGAACCAACAAATTGAAAAGGGGGAAAAACATAAAGGAAGGGAAGAGGAAAGCCAAAAGGAGAAGGAAAGGGAAAACAAATCAAGACAAGAAAAATGAAAAACATGCAGATAAAAGAAAGGGAAAGAGAGAGAAGAGTAAACAATGAAAACGGGGTGGAGAACAAAACCGGCGAACGTATACGTACGTGGGCCGGCTTTTATAGCTGGCTGTTAAACATGGCAAGGTGCATGCTAGGAGAATGCGCACAGAAAGCACAAAGAGATTGAAAATCAACAAGCATAAATTTAAGCATAAAGAAGCGTACGCGCCAAACAATGGACAACGACGTTTTTCCCCAGACAGTGTGGACACACTAAGGGGTTCTTACGGTAGTAGAAAAGCACTTGTGCTTAGATCGGTGTGCCGCGCGGGAGTGTGCGGCTAAGTCGCTGCTATTTACAGCACACTCAATGCCTCTCGAACTCCTCCAAGTGCATTTTGACTGCGCAGGCTCGCTGAATCTGGGTGTCCGCGGCGGGTGCTTCGACTGCGCTCTCGTTGTGGTGCCGTGCGCATTTTCGCACATGGTGGTGACTTTTTCGTGGCAGGCGCAAGAGAAACCTCGTGCTTTCGTGGTTCAATTTCGATTTTTCGTGACAGGCTCAAGGGATCGGAGCTGTTTTACTTCGATGTGCAGTTTTCGTGGCAGGCGCAACACTTTGGACATGGCGGTGATCGTCGAGGAGCTCATTCCAACCACACATCCGTATCCAGCCGTGCATTTCCCAACTGCTTTACCATCATGGACTCGCAGGCCCCAGCATCCGCAACCAACACCACCCTCCTCCAAGGGTCGCGCACTTTTGCCACCACAGAGCTGCTCTTTATACACCACCCCCGACAGAACGCTACCACTACCACCTAGTTTAGAATGTAATTGCGCGCATGCGCGCTAAGGCAGGGCCAGACAAGACGCGCGCAAAAGACAGAAGGAATGAAATGACCGGACATGAAAGCGGAAAAGACATGAAGGGAAAGGGGAAAAGAAAGTGTGTGAAGGCAGATGAAAGGGAAACCAGATGAAGAGTGACAATAATAAAGGCCAAGCCAAACCTCATTAAAACAAAACAAGGGGACCTCGTGCGACAGTGCTTCACCACGAACTGGCAGCGTTTTCGTTGGGCAGTGTTTGTCAGTCACGCACCACCCCCTGCGAGTAATTGCCTGCCTAGCTGTTGCATGAGTCAAAGAAAAGTATATAAATCCTGTGTGATCGATTCTTTGGATACGGGGAGGGATACACACACCACATTCACTGGAGAAAGCGGATCAGGCGGTGCCCAAGGCATGTAAATTTAAATCATCTTAAAACAAAGAGCTCGCTGAAGCATGCTGAAGCCGCGTTCCTCAATTCTTGAGTCTTTCCAAGGTGAACCTTGAACAGATGCTGGTGCTGACCGCTGGTGTACCAGAGATCGCCTCGGGCATCCTGTCTCATTTAGAAAGCCAATCTGAAGGGAATAGGTGGTGGCAGCTCATCGGCAACCAGGTGACCAATCCCTCCTCGCTACTGCTTTGCATGCCGCCGAATGCATCCGGCACATCTGCCTTTTGGTCAAAAAGTTTCGAAACGTTGGGATTCGTTGGCAACAGATAGAACTTGATGTGAATTCAACTGAGAGTCTGGTGTCCAGCAGTTTGCACGGCCAAAAGAGTGCACTGAGGTTTACAAATCATGGCTTCAACATACAACGGTGCCTGTGGTCTGTGGCACTCCTCCTGGATGGGCGGACCGATTGGATGCTTGTCACAGGTACCGAGCTTCTAAGTGCACTCGCGATGAGTTAGGAGCACAGAGCAATCCAATGAACAGTCAGACGAAGCAGACATGCTGTGCCAGCGTCCACCGAGCGAGAGCCGATCACTCTCAGGGCAGATTCGGGTAGATGTTGTTTTGTATGGCAGCTAGCGTTTTCTGTTCTATGTTTGTGACTTGTGAACAGGTTGTTGATTGCAAGGTGACAGCTTCCGGATGGCGCCGTTTGTTAAACTGTCCCCTAGGAAGAGGGCTGCGTGGAGAACTGGTCAGATCTGATCCAGACTTTCTTCAATGAACTGCAGCACTTCTTGCAGCATCATGGCTGGGGAGAAGTTCCGCTGGTGCTCTATGGACATTCCTTCGGCGCACTCATTGTTGCGGCCCTGGCTGAGCGACTTGAAAGGGAATGCAAAGAGGTGCAGCATCTGGGCATTGGAGCATGGTGTGCTCCACAAAAGAGCTACAGAGAGCGGTACCCTGAACACATGAAAGTAGACTTCGAGAAACTCAAGGATCCCAAGGTGGACCTGCTTTTCGCAAAAGAAGAACTAAGACACTTTGAGTTTTTGCCCGAAGAATTCTTCACGCACAGCGATGGCGCGATTCTGCAGACTGCACGTTGCGTTGCGGCAAGCCTCAAAATGTCACTGAGCATGAAATAAGAAGCGGGATGTCAGCGTGGGAGGGCAGATGTTTTTGCGTCTTTCTCCAGTGCACTCTTGTTTTTGGGTGATGCCTGAATCATGGCTTTGGGCAGTTGAGAATAGTTGGTAAATTCAGATCAGCCTGGCAGGCTGTTGATATAGATGGGTGTGAAAACATCCGGGTTTGCAGTAAAAGACCATTAAAGCAGATCCATGCTGCTGCTGGAGTCACAGCCAACCAGGAAATGAGCTGTGCCATCCAATGCTCAATGAGAGAACAGTTGCTTTTCCACAAAAATCACAGGGTCAGCGTCGTGGGTGTAAGTGTTGAAGTAGGTGTACGATGGTGCAAGTCTCTAAGTTACTAAGAGTGTACAACGCTCGCTCACTGGTTTAGCCAGCAAGGCGATAAGGCACAGCCGGCATAACCATAAAACAACATTCGGTACCAAGAAAGAGTGCAAAAGAGAAAACACGGCTGGTTCGAATCAACTCAATCCTGCTTAGTGGTTGCTGTCACCCTGTAGGCTTGATTTTTTTACCCACGCCGGCTGCCACAAGATCCAAACGGTTTTGGGGAACTGCGATCATTCCATTGAGAAGGCGTAGTGCGAAATCAGTTGGCCTCCAAAGCTTGAAAACAAGCGACAAGTGGCCTCCAGATGCAACGCCAGTTTCACAGCGTGTTGCATTATCCCCAGACTTACCATGATTCGTAGCACAAAACATTTTTATGTTTTGGGGAATGTCCGGCGAATCCTTTGGCGAATGAGATAAAGAATCAGACTCGCACCAAACCACACCCCCTACTGTCATGCCCTGGCAAACCGTGTGTAATGACACATTGTTTTCATCCCATACAACCGTCTACATTGCAACAGCATTTTGGCTGTTTAGGTTGTCAAACCGTGTAATCTCAGGCAAGACAATACGGGTGTTGGTGGCAGGTGCTGCCTAACAAATGCAGAGATTTGGATAGTCATATCAAGTGGGCAGTTCATTTCCATAGTAGCCAGGAGCTGAGTATTGCAACGTGTGTCTAATTTAAAGGCTTACGCCTGACAGCCGGGCGCCGGCCCACTTGGGTCTGTGTAGGGCTGGGTCCTGTCTCTCTCTCTCTCTCTCTCTCCCTCTCCTCCCTCTGTCTGTCTCTGTCTCCGTCTCCGTCTCGGTCTCTGTTTGTCTCTGTCGCTGTCTCTGTCTTCTCTGTCTGTGTCTTCTCTGTCTCTGTCTCTCTCTCTCTCTCTCTTTTTGAGACTGTGTGGGGCCTATGTTGCCACATCTTGAGGCAATCTTGGCCCATCTTGCGGCTATGTGTTAGCCATATCTGGGACCTATGTTGGGTCCCCTTGAGGGCCTCTGTCAGATCATCTTGGAGCACATGTTCCGCCTTTGCTGTTGGCGCGTGCCCAACACCCACGAAATGTCGATTAAGCCTGTCCGCCCGGCGCGCATTACCGACACCACCCTTGAAAAACACAGCGTTTTCGCATTTCTCCATCTTCGCCGCGTCGTACTTCGATATGCGCAATAGACCCTGTAAAACACAGTGTTTTTATACCTCACACACACGAAGCACTGTAAATTACAGGGGCTTCAGTGGGTCGGAAGTGGCGAGGGCGGGGACGAGGGTCGCCGGCAGGGGGCACGCCGCTTATAACCTTCGGTTACCAACGAAGGCCCTCCGGGCATGCTACGCGCTTCGTGGCCGGCGCCCGGATTTAAAGGCTTACGCCTAACAGCCGGGCGCCGGCCCACTTGGGTCTGTGGGGCGTATGTCACACCTATGTTGGCCTTGGTGGGGCCTATATTTATGACACCGAACACACACACAGAAGAGGTTCAAGATGAAAAAATCAAAGCACAAAAAATACTCCAAAAAAAACAACCACAAAAAACAAATCTAGACTCAGCCCAAAACCAGAATTCAAAACCAAACACAAAAACACACTCAACTGGAGACTCAAGTAGCAGAAGGAAAAAAACAAATCCGGACTCAGCAAAACACTCAGCAAATCCTGTGTGGGAGGGGGTCCTGTGTGGGAAGGGCGTGCGGGCCTGGCCTGGGATGTGGGATTGTGGCCGGTTAACTGATTAGCCCGCTGAGGATTTGAGTCTGGATTTGAGTCTGAATTGAGTCAGTCTGGGTTTGAGTCTGGATTTGAGTCTGGATTTTTGAGTCTGGATCTGAGTCTGGATTTGAGTCAGTCTGGATTTGAGTCTGGATCTGAGTCTGGATTTGAGTCAGTCTGGGTTTGGGTCTGGATTTGAGTCTGGATTTGAGTCAGTGTGGGTTTGAGTCTGGATTTGAGTCTGGATTTGAGTCAGTCTGGGTTTGAGTCTGGATTTGAGTTAGTCTGGGTTTGAGTCTGGGTTTGAGTCTGGATTTGAGTCTGGGTTTGAGTCTGGATTTTTTTTCTGAAGGGAAAAGGCAGGTTCCAGCCCACCCTATTTGAGTCTTGTTTTGTTTTGTTTTTGAATCTGTCCTGAGTAGACCTGTTCTCCTGAGTATGGATTTGTGTTTTCTGTTTGTTTATTTTTTGATAATGTTTTAAAAAAATTCAAGGATTTTGGCTCTGTCTGTTGAGTTCAGGTTCATAAGCCTATATTGAGCAAAGTTAAGCTATCTGGTGCGCATCTTGGCCCTAGGTTGGGCCAAGTGAGGTCCATGTGGTGTATGTTGGGCACATCTTGGGCACATGTTGAACCTATGTTGGCCTTATGTTGGCCTACGTTGGCCTAGGTTGGGCCTATGTTGGGCATATGTTGGCGTATGTTGGCCCCATGTTGGCTCTATGTTGAGCCATCTTGGAGGCTATGTTGGGCATATGTTGGGGATATGTTAGGCAATTTATGCTAAAAAATCTTCCGATACAACTGTTTATGATTTTCCTTCCCGCAAAGCAAAAACACTTGAAAAAACCCACGTTTTTTAACATCGCCAAGATGAAATTCTCCGCCGCCGAGGGGCCCAAAACCCTGTAAAACACGCGGTTTTTGAACATCGCACGCCAAAAAAACTGTAAATTACAGCGACTTCAGTGGTCCCCCCTTTTTCATGACGAGGGTCGTGGGCAGCCAGGGCCAGCGCTGTAAATTACATATAAATCTATCGACCGGATTCGACCTGAGGTATACACGGGGTCCAACAAAAGGGTCGGCGGCAGGGGCGGCGAGCGTATATAACCTTCGGCTACCAACCGAAGGCCTCCGGCAAGGACACGTGCGCGCGGCCGGCGCCCGGATTTATGAGGCTTACGCCTGACAGCCGGGCGCCCGGCCTATTTGGGTTTGGGTCGGAGCAGTGCCAGAGGCTCACTCCCAAGGCTCCCGGCAATTTCGCCACAGCTTTCCACAATCTAATTCCACACTAAATACGGGCGAAGCCAGCCAAATTGCCTAACGTCGCCTGGCACGTTGCCTGCACGTCGCCTGGCGCGTTGCCTTCAGGAGCACATAAAACAGTTGGCTGGCACGTCGCTTTCCATGCCCAATTGCCTGGCCCAGTTGCCTGGCAGCTGAGGTGTGCGTACAAGGCAGAATGCAGCCGCTGGAGGGTTTTCCGCCTGGCCGCAGCGACCCAAATTCCCTAACATCGCCGGCGCGTCTCTTTCGATGAAGGCAAAATGCAACCGACGGCCACGCCTAGAAACGGCACCGTCGACACACTCTGGATCTGCTTGCTGGGCAACTGTTTCACCTGCGGTGTCCCCGGCGCCGCCCCGCCTAGGCGTCAGCTAGGCAGGGGTCGGCGGATTACAGTATCCAAAGACAAGGCCATGACTCACATCTCCCATCCCAAAGCCTTGTGTGCAGTTCATCCAAGGCTGCAACAATCCTGGGCCTGTCCGAAGCTGACATGTCCAATAACCGCTTTCTGTGGCACTCATGACCCATTTGTGACCGATAAAGACATGCAGGGCTGGAACGGCAGCTCAGCACACTTCTGCTTGAGAACCATAGAGGGCGGTCATGCTTTTGTGCATGCTAGGGGGAAAGATATTTGTCAAGAAATTCTAGCGCAACATGTACGCTAGGTGTTGCATGTGTCATTGCCACTTAATTGAAACTGGAAACTGACAAACATCTCTGAATTGCAGACTGCTATATATAGACTCCCACAAAATTGTGTTTTGTTTGGAATGCGCTTCGCTATACAAGGCCAAAACCAATTTTTGAGGTTGCTTGGCACCCAGACAAGCCGATAGCTCGAGTGTAGATATTGGCAGGCAGGATTGATGAATTGCAGGTGCTTCAACGGCACCAGTGCACGCTAGTGCGGCGTTTTTTTAGCGCAGTGTGCCAGAAGTGAAGTTCACTGACATTCACTGACCAGTGGAAGTAGGAGTGGCAGTGGCATGTATAGCATGTTGGGGTTTAAGTCTTGTTTCAGATGTTTGTTGCAAACTCAAATGCATGATCACCCCATGGCAAGGGTGTGTTGCTAACGCTCCGCTCTGGTCTTGTCTCGAGTCGAGAGGTTGTTTACACTTCGAAGCAAGTGTGGTTTTTGGAAGAAAAGCGAAGAGCGCGCAGGGGCTATTTGTTGTTGGCCCGGACCTTGTCTTATTGTTTCATGTGGTTTTTTCACGTTGCTTTGGTACAATGACAACTTGCGGTGTCAATGTTTGTCTTGGTTTGTGTGGTCAATGTTAATCGCTCAATGTCGATGAGAGGTATGTTTTGGCCGACCTTTCCGCAGCAGCTAGTAAGATGGATGTTTGTGTGGCTATCGCTGTTCCAGCTCTCATCTCGGGGATTCCGCACACTGAGCCATTGGCATTGCGATTTCGGACTTGGGACATTGTGGTATCTTGGCCAGACTGCGGTATGTAAAAAGAAACTAACACAGGCTGTCACAGCATGCCGGTGAATGGTTTTGTGCACGTGCTATTGCGCTTAGGCAAAAGTATGATCCAGAATGCTAAGAGTGCCTTGGCGCACCTTGATCTCCTGGTTTCCTCCGTCGTAGTTGCCTGCCATGAGTTACGACCTTTGAAGTTTTTTGCCACAGAGTGCTTCCAAGTGCGGCCTGTACTCAGGACGCTACGAGCATCTGACCGATGGCAAGTTGGTGCTGGACAGCAAGAAGAGAAGGGAGTTTGCATTTGCTGCAGTGGACACATGCATCTCTATCTACATCAACGGCCGCGTCAATGAGTGGACCCCAGTGCCGCTGCTGAGCCGGTTCATCCCTCAAGTTGCAGATTTGCTTCCAGAGTCCGTGCTCCCAAACAAAGAGCGCCACTGTTTGATTGCTGAGCTGCTTTACAAGAGTGGAATGAAACTGGGTGGTTTGCCGGTGAAAGCCATGCAGTTTATGAGTCTCCGGCATGATTTGCCCGAAGGTTACTGTGAAGAGTTTTCCAAGGCGCAGGAAAGCACAAGTTTCCGCAGTCCAGCAGAGCACGTTCAGAAGATCTTGGGCAAGTTTCCGGGCTTGGAATGGGATGACTCTGACGAATTTGTGAAGAGCGCCTCCATTGCACAAGTTCACACGAATTGCACATGGCAAGGCAAGCCAGCAGTGGCCAAAGTTCAGCACGCCCACGTGAAAGAAGAGTACGAAAGTGATTTGAAGATCATGGCCGACCTTGGCCAACATGTGGACAAATATGAGGAGGCAAAAGGTGCAGCTGTGATGTTGAAGTCACTTGCTGAGAAGCTGGCGCCAACAGTATCCAGCGAAACTGACTTCACAAAAGAAGCAGCCAACCAAGATCGCATTCAGAAGATGTTTGCTGCATCGCACTCCGATGTGGTTGTTCCAGAGGCGGGTGAGAGGGAATAGATGGGAATAGCATCGAAACAGTCCAACCACTACTGCAAAATACTGCAACTAGATATCTAAGCGTCATATTCTTTCAGTCTCGTTCTTGCATGGGTCTCAACAAACTGACAGACTCAAGTGAAGACCTTTATGATATCACTTTTCTGGACTTTCCGAAACACAGCCATGGGCAACCCCATCTGAGATGTGCATACACCTGATTACTGTAGGTGTTTGCTGCCACTGAGATGGGCCTGATTATGGAGAAGCTCCCAGGCAAGACAGCAGCGGAAGCTATCGCGTGCTGGAAGCGTGGTGAGCCCCTCGATATCTTCGACCGCCAGCAACGGAACGTCATCTATGACTTATTTGCGCAGATGGTCTTGAAGCACAGATTCTTTCAAATGGATGCCCACCCAGGCAATTTCATGGCTTTAGATACTGTGAAGGTGGCACTTCTGGATTTTGGTCAGTGCTGCGAACCTTCGCCAAAGCAAGTGACACTTTTTTCAGAATTTCGCTCTCACTGCACCCACCTCTGAAGAAGATGCCATAGATGAGACCAAGATTTTGTCATGGATCAGCGAAATGGGAGTGAAAGTGGCGACTGCAGCTGAAGCCAAAGCGTCGGCTGATTTGCTCTTCTTCGGACAGAAAAGCTCCATATTTCCAAGCACGAAAGACGCTCAGGCAGTCGTATACAAGTCAAAGTCTTGGTTTTGTAATATAGGCTAGTTTTGTCACGTTGTGCGTCTCTCCGTCGACATGTGGTTTGCCTTCACTGAGGAAATTGACCCTGAGCTCATGCCGTTGCTGCTGATTTCTTTCTATTTGTCTCGTTTTGAGAGCGAGGCTGCTGAGCTCCGCTCTCACGTAGGTTTGAAGGATCAGGCAGATGACTTTGCTGTGCTCAAGGCATTCCGCTACGTTGCCGAGGCTTTGAACAGGGCTAAGTTGTGATTTAGGTTATCCCTGGACGAAGTTCGAGGCCAAGCAGACATGACTAGGACTAGGCTAGCGGCTCGCAGATGACCTTCAGAATGAATGATGAATTTGGTTGTCTGGTACGGTCATGTTTGAGCATGCTGCTTGGCACCCTAGACAAGCCCATTGCTCCGGAGTAGTTATTAGCAGGCAGAGTTCATGAACTTGTTGGTGCTTCAACGGCACCAGTGCATGCTGGTGCGGCGTTTTGCAGCGCAGTGTGCCAGAAGTGAATTCACCAGCAGAAATTGGAGCGGCAGTGACAGTGATTGGTCTTTGTTTGGTTGAGGCCTTGTGTCCGATTGTTGTTTCAAGCTCGCTTTCAGTATCACCCCATGGCAAGGGTGTGTTCTACACTCCGCCCTGCTGGTTGTGTAGCGCAGTGCGCTAGCGAGATATCAATCTCTGGAGTCGACTGCTTGTTTTGCACTTTGAAGCAAGTGTGAAACCTGCGACCTATTGAAAAAGGCAACAGGTTTCACCTTGGCGCTCATTCGATCTATTTGTGTTTCTCTCTTTTACTTTGTCCGCGCATATAGCTGCGTCCATGTTGTTTCCCTGCTCTTGGTTTTCTTTTCCTGGCTTTGCTAGTCTTTTTAACCGGCGGTGTGCGATCCTTCTTCGAATTCTTGTTGGGCGTTCTGTTCCTCGTGCACTTCTGCTGTGGCTTCATGACGCTGATTCTTAGATCTAACCGTAACGAGCATGTTCCAAACCAAAGCAGCATGCAGTTGCCATGGAGAGAGAACAGGAACGCGTTGTTCACGCTGCAGAACTGCAGGAGAGCAGCAACTTCGCCCTCGAAACACGACAGAATGCGAATTTAAGGAATCATAAAGAAGGCTGAAAGATCCTGGAAGACAATGATTGCAGTTGACACAGTACAGACATTGCCCAAAGAGTAGGGTTTCTCCTTTTCACTGGGCACATCGTCACTGGACAAATCGAGTTTTTAGCCCGTTTTGACAGGAAACTTCGTTGGACAGTAGAGCAACCTTTCCCTAGGCAAGTTGGTAGACATATGGCAGCTGGCCGCATGTTGTGAGGGCGCAGTATCAAGAGCAACTTCCACACGTAGAACCGTAGAACATAAATCTTACACAATGTGCCTGGCTACGACGCAATGAAAACACAAATCATGGCATGTCGCCCATGGTTGGACACGATTCTCGCTCTGTCATTTTGCAAAGCGCGCAGATCCATCGCGGAAGTCCGGGACATCCGAACCAAACACACAACTACCAATCTTTGACATTTTGGAAGCGTGACAGTAATACATGAATATGTATATGTGTTTTTTACATGTCTTTACTAGGAAAACCGTTGGCGACATGGACTGTTTCAGTTGGTTGATGAGGGCTTTGCACCATGAAATGTCACAGACGGCTGATGTAGCATTTTCTCAGACCTTTCATGGGATGATTTGGATGAGATTTGGCGACTACATGGTGAACCTTGTTTTGTGCAGTCCAACACGCATTCTAATTGTTGCTCTGTTTGCAAGAGCTTTCCGGGCTTGACATCCGCAAATGCACTGGGGCTGTAAGTTCATCATTTCCTTCAAGCGTTCGTGCAAGTGGGACGATTGTGTCCATCTACCGACCCTTGAAGCAAGTGAAAGCCAGGGCTGTTACTGTAGTTTTCTTTTGCTTCATCCTCGTGCAAAAATCAGCGCGGCCTGCCATGGCACAAACCGTGGATGTGCAATGTTTCAGGCACTGCTCTCACTGCGCCTGAAGTGTTTGCGCGGCGTTGCTTTGCGGCAAATGCCTCGGGATCCCATGCGGAGGAGGCGGCCCCCTCCTGTGGGCCCCATCACTTCTTGTTGGATTTGCAAGTAGCAGCACCGTGATTGGGAGACGCACAAACACGCTGGTTCTTGACGACGAGGCCGCAGATGTGCTTACCCTGAGGGTAGGTCTTCCGATCGCTTCGGCATTGCCCGAGCTGGAAAGCCTGACAGATTCTAAGGTCCGAGCCACCTCACAACCATGGATCTCCTTGCCCAGTAACCAACCATTATCCGACTTGTTGAGCGAAGTCGTATCAGCCACGCAGCTGCCCCCTGCGTCACCCGCAGAAGCCGCCACCAGCCAATGAGCATCCCGCGCCAGGGCCACCTCCTTGATGACTTGTCCCAAGGTCTTCTGGCCATCACGGAAGCGAGCAACCCATTCGCAAATCACTCAGGTTTGCCGAGAGGCCCGAGAAGCAAGGTCAGGGAAGGAAAGTCCACACAAATCTATCATCACTCATTTGTTTCCTTTCTCATTTCTTAGCTTGGCTTCTGGCAGATATCCATAGTCACAGGGTCAGAATCATGTTTCTCGATTTACAGAGCGCTGGCAGCAGAAACCAGTTGCTAAAAACTATACTGTAAACACATGTTTTTTTTCTGTCGCCTTTCTTTCCATGCACGGACGGCTTTGCGTAGGGCTGTCGGCACTCGGCATGTGTTCACTCTTCGTCCGTTCCACCTCGCCAAACTTCTCCGTTGTAGCGCCTGATGGGCCCTTGGGTCCGGGCATCGACTGGTGACTTCTTTGGCCGCTGCCCTTGTTGAAAGCAACAGGTTCAACAAAATATGGGGGGTGCCTTAAATAACTGTTCCAGGTAGTACCGTGAGTTCACGGAATATTTTTTTTTAGTATATTTTTGGGAATATTTACAGCCCTAGGTATAGGATACTGTATACTGGACACATACATGGAATATTTTTTGTTAAGATGATATGTTGGCAACACTACATAGAAGAAGCAATTCCAGAATGCCATGTGAACATATACCTAGAATATTTATTTGAAAGAACTCAATACATACCTGGAATATTAACCCAAGGGACCTTTAAGATTTGATACCATTTGTAAGAGCATGTCGAAGCATACCCAGAATATTCTTTATAAGTAACATTAAGTAACTGGAATGCTTGTGGGATATAAACATGTTTTAATTATTCCACTAACTAAGCGAGTTGTGGAATATTTAATTTTGGAGAACTGGAAGTATCTAGGAATATGTTTTAATATTCCTGCAGGTATCGACAGTCAAGGGTATCTAAGGCACCCCCCATAACAAAATTCATGCTTCTTAACTTCTTAGGCAACTTCTTAGGCTTGTGTTATGGTTGCCTCCTGCATTTCAAAAATATAGGACAGCTCATTTCCCACCGTCGGCAGGAGAATGTGAAAGACGGTGAGATAAGTAAGAAGAAAATGCGAAGTCCCGACAGAACCTTTTTCAATGCGCCAAACCAGAGTTGTTTCAAGTAAGCGAGCCCGGTAAAGACTTCCTCCAACAGTTGTGAATTTCCGATGATAACGGAAGGGATGGGGAGGGTGAAAGGAAGGTGAACTGCTGTGTACTGAGTTCCGATCGGAACTTTTGTTAAAGACCGCACCCCGCCCTCCCTACTTAGTAGGTGCCTACTTAATTAAGTAAGGGAGAGGTAGCTAGTCGGTGCAGGTAGGACACAGGATAGCTCACGCTCGCATAATTAATTTGGCTCCTAGAATTTTAGGGACACCGTTGCTTTCTTGTTTGATTGATGCGTCGCAACTCTGTGCTTGAGACGCACGGCGTATTCAGAGACCCGGACAGGAAGTGAACGCAACGAGAGAATTGCAAGGCTCGAGTCACGACTTGTGAAATGAGTTGTGGAAGTCATGGCCCGAGCTGACTGACAGGTCTTGAGCATGATACCCTTCGCGTGATGGGGGAGATGTGGGACTTGCCACAGGACGGATCAAAGCAGACAGGCTCCAAGCTGTTAAACTTTGGCCACAAACTGACAGGCGCAGGCAGACTAGCGGTGCATTTCGATCACCGCCGCCAGGTTGTTTGCTTGGTGAAAATAGAAAGTCGCTAGTGCTCAGTGCTTTTGTCCTATTACTTTTGTTTGAAGGCTCACTGCGTGTCGGTTTGAGCCCAGTGTGCTCACATGAGGGAGAGATCCTGCAGAACAGCCTCAACTTAGTTCATACACTATGATACAACTATACGCCTCTATGCGTAAGCCTCAGATGGCCTAAGCTGGTTCATCTCGCGCCTCTCAATCAGTACGGTGCGCACAGCAGAGCCGTGTCTGGATTTGCCTTTATGTTCTTCCTAAACAATTCTCGGGTCACTGTTGTTGAGCTGGGCCAACAGTTTGTTAGCTGGTCCCTTTCTGACTGGATTTGATTGTGGATAGTTTAGCTTGCTGGTGTACATCATTTCCAGCTAAGTGAAGGCTATCAAGGAGCAGGACGTTTCATATAGACCTCATACTGCCCACTCCTAAACAGCATAATGTTTGAAGCAAAAGAAACATTAGAGCTCCACTTCAAGCTCGATGCATTTTGGGAGCAGTGGCCCCATTATTCCCAAAGCTCTTCAGCATCATTTATGATGTTCCGCCAGTCGGTATATGAGCATGCAGTCAAAGCTCAGTTGCATTTGGCAAGACTGCTTCATGCCAAATGCGCATGACTCCTGGAGCGCATGTTTGCCCAGTATCAGCTGCTCAGATTCATGTTCTGCAAGTTTCCTTCATTGAGAGATATTCATGGAGAAATATTTGAACTTAATCGGACTCACACTTCTTGAATCAAGTTTGTTCCCTTTGCAGCAAATCAGTGTTTTCACACTGCCACGATATCATTTGACAAGCACTCCTCACTAGTTGCAGCGCCATGCTTCCTTTAATGAAGCAAACATGAGGTGCCTCATACATTTGCTGATAGCGGGCGTTTTTGGAGACGATGCCAGTTGCAGCTTGCAGAAGCCACATGTTCGTTCCGCCAGCTTGAGCCTCACCTCACGTGCCTCGACAGCGACACCTGATCTTTGGTCAACTCCCTCGGGGTTTCGTCAGTGTCCCCCGGTTTCAGCCATACAAGCCGGATCGCCTTTGCCCAGCGTGCCAGCAAGCATTTTGCCACAGAAAATCCAGTGTTCGCCAGGCTGCACTGTGATCGGCAATTTTGTTGATGACCTCTATGAGTTTTCCTGTTGTTGCAGTGGTCAGCTCTGTCAGGGCTGCCGGAGATTCAGTGAAGGCGTTTGCCAAGAGTGTGCTGCCGGATATGTGATGCAGAAAATTCCCATTATGAACATTTCCAAGTGTTTCATTTGCGACGACGTGCCGAATTGGCATGACATGCACGGTCGGAGCTGTGCAGATCTAAAACACCTTCACATTTGTTCTGGCTCTTGGCCACCACAGGATCAGGATTTGGCATATCATGGAGTGAGACCCAGCGAGGCGTGTTGTGCATGTGGTGGTGGAAATGTATATCCAACCCCTTCCTTTATGAAGCTAACTGTGGAGGCCCTGCATTTTGGCCAGCAGATCCACTCAACTCCAGAACCCATCACCTCCATAGCTCAGGAGGTTGAACCAGGATGTGCTTTTGCAGCATCCGGGCTCCAATTGCTTCCTGACGGTCGTGTGAAGGGTGTGGTCAATGTCCCAAACAACACCGTGCTTGAATGCTCAACCGTGTCCGTGCAAGATCCTGTCCGGGGTATAATCAGCAGCACTGAATATTCGGTGCCCGTCTTCCGCTTTTCATACGGACAGCAGGTGGTCAACTTCAAATTTTATGGCTTGGACCAGCATCCGTCACCAGACAGAATTCCATTGCAAGCATCCACAAAGGATTTGACTGGCTTTCAGAAGCAGTGTGATCCAAAGTGCCCGTGGTTCAAAGTTGATTCAACAGGTGACCTGCTCTTTGTGGCCGAAGGCGCCGAAGGAAGGAAGACGTTCCCGCAAGGATTAAAATCACAGGTTACCGATATGCCTGGAATGCCTTCCTGCAGCTGCTACGTGCGGGCATCTCAATCAAAGACCGAGTTCGTGGCGGCACAGGTACGTCTTTGGCGAGCTGGTGTGTGGAAGGCTTCTTGGGCCAAATCATGAGTTTGGGTTGGTGGACGTTGATGGAACTTGTTGAGAGAACGGATGGAAGGGTATGAGAACTACCACCCCGTTCATTCCCTGTAGGTGCCGAAGATGGTTGCCCGCGTTTCCGCAGAAATGCCTGAGATACCTCTCATTGAGGACTTGGGACTTTTGGCGCTTTTGGTATTTTTGTTATCTTTGTTTTTACGAATTGAACATACTGTAGCAAGGACATGTTATTGGATGGGTCACAACCGTGCAGCCATATGTTGACTCATGAACATCGCATAACAGGATGTGGAAAACTTGTTGGAAGTGCTTGAAGCCCCGAAGGGCTTGTTAATTCAAGCTATCGACAGCAGGAGTTACACAAACCAAGGACCTGGCTGGCAATGGTACAATGGTTCTGGACATGATTTCCAGCTCCCAGTGGTTGAGGAGCTCTCTACTGGAAAGAAGTTCATTGTGTCGGAGGCCACCCCTCCAGATATATTGGATGTGAGTTGTAGGACTCCGAGCACTGAGCTTACATGGTCGCAGACCACAGGTGAGGTGAAACTACAAGGAGAAACAGCTTTTCGATTAGATCCCGTGACTGGCGCGATCTCTGGCACGCCGCTTCTCAGCTTTCTCTCTGCTCAGGGACGTGGCGAGGTGAATGTCACCTGCAAAGTTGCGATTGGAGGCAAAACGACAGGAACAAATTTGGTTGAAGTTGACAATTAGGAAGAGCAAATTGGAAAGGACCTGAAAAGGCCTCAAGCATCAAATTTGTCGAAGTGCTGCATGTTGAGGCCCACTCTATGACAAGGTCCTGCCAGTAGCAACATTTAATATCCTGATCCAGGATGAGGTGTGTGCGGAGCCCAGAAGATATCATCCTGAATCTGAGCACACAAATTGAATGAATATGATGCTGGATGAACCAACATGCAATGATGGTTCTGTGAAACATCGTCATGCGATGAACAGTTTCGGCCTGGGGTGAGATATTCTTCACACTCCGCGCCTTGCCTTCGGTGCGTAGAAGACCCACCTCAAGTATTTGAAAAGAACAACCATCCCATAATGTCATAATGTTGACTGTTGAAAAGCAAAGCTCCCCATCTATGGAGATGTTAAAACGTTCGGTAAGGGGCAAGGGGCTTTATTGGTCAACCCCATCATCCAGAAGAGCTAGCTCAGAACTGTTAAAATCTGGATTGTACAACTTATGATTTTCCGCTATTCATAATAATGCATTGCCGTTTTTCGTTTGACCAAGCAGCTTTGGACAAGATTCATCAAGATTCCAGCTTCGATGCGAAACATTGGTCGAATCAAGCCGCAACACACAAACACCACGAAACGATGTGCGCAAAGTTACACAGCTCGGACTTTGCGATCAGACTCAAGAAGCAAAATATGCAAAATAAGTTAAGAGACAATGTCCAAGCTCAATTTGTACTAGGACGTCAACTTGCTGTATTTGGCCACTCTATGAACATAAAACATAACAGCAAAAGAACAGACATCCTCGCACAAAGTTTCGCTCTAGCTTGCTTTTTCAACAAGACGCAAGAACGAAAGGTTGACTTTTACTTGATTAGTTTGTCAATGTTTGTCAATGATGGCGTGTAGTGCCACTGGTGTCGTTCTTGTCAGAGGCAAAGCTTCCCAATACTACATGCTGAGGTTGGGTGCCGCGGCACATCTCAAGTGTGACCTTGGTTGACGACTACCCTGACCACCCAGATTCAAGTGACATGGAGGAAGCAAAATGCATACAGATTTGCCGTGCTCGAATGGATTGTGCAGCAGCTCGCGTGTGGTTCTCGCATTGCTTGATTATTGCGAGTCACCTGAACAATCCTCGGCCGGACCCAGACGGAGGCGGCATGTATTTGGTTCGATTGAACAATTGCTCGGAGCAAACTTCGGAACTAAATATTACAGTCCCAGGTGCTCAATATCTTCAAGGAACATTTTCGGCGATGAATGTGTACCACGGAGAAGCATCTTATTCTCGGGCTGGATTTAACCCAGAACGTCAATTGCTGTTGGTCCGAAAAGCCAACGTGCAGCAGGCCATAAGTGACTTTTGCGCAGAGTCACTTGGTGGAATGAAGGAAGAATGGGTGACGGTCTTTTGATGCTTTGAATGTGAGTGTTCCTTGCTTTTATATAACTTTCAAGCGTGTATTCAGGGCTGTTAACGTCAAAGGACGTTTATTGCGAACGTTCGATGCCAGCCTCATTTATTTGTAAATCGCTATCGATTCTCAACTTTGCACCACCACGGCATTGCGGTAGCCTTGTTGCACCCAGCCGCGCAGTCTCAGGTACACATGTGCAGCAACAGCAGGTGAAAGTGCGCCTCTTCGGCCGCCGAACATGAACCACGTCACCGTACCCAATCGTCCCATTATACTCACCTGGGCAAGTGCCACATCATGAGGTGTACATGTCCCCATACTGAAATGAAAGTGTACCACATTGTCGCTTGGTGAAGTTGTGCAACTTGTTGGCCCCTGTGAAATCACACCAAGCCATCAGGTGTTCCACTGATACCAACACAGTCATCGAAGGACACATGGGTGTGAGTCCAAGCCTGTGGCTGAATTTCGGATGGTTTGCTATCATCAGGAGAAGAGGAACATAAGGAGTTAACTGCTTGCACATACGTCACATCAGCAGGGAAATTTCTACCGCAATACACCGCACCACCGGGTGCACTTGCAACATCTTCAGTAGATGCGCCAATTGCCAGTGGGTGACAAGGTGCGCCACATCAACATCTATATATATATAGAACATGTGTTGTGCTTGGTACACCAGTAAGGGAAATCTCTACCTCCACAACCGCAAGTGTCCTGGTACTGCATGTTCTTAAACAACTAGACTTCCGAACCACATCATCAGGCGAGCGTTTGCTGGAGTAGGTGAAATGGCACCAAATTATATAGAAGATATTAGATGAAGGCTAGTCGCGTCGAAGCAAGATAGCACCTAGGGTGAAGCTTGTATCACATCACAACACCGACATCATCAAGGCGCAAAATACATGCACCATAACAGATTCTGTGTCTTGAACGCTCTCTTCAACATGACAAGACACCCTCGCGTCCCTATTTTGCCGCTGCCCTGTTCAGCTTACTTTGTTTAACCGCCTCTTCCGCCTCTTTCAGTTGGTTTTTTGTTGGAACACATGTGAAAGCGTCGATCAGGTCCAAGTGGCTGCTTTTGCACATCAACTCTTCAGACTTTGAGGATGGTTCGCTCGGCTCACAAAACGCTCCAGAATTTTTTGGAGATCCCATGGCTTGTGTGAATTCCGATGTCGTAAGCCATGCTTTCAAAGATGGCACGGATGACTTTATCATGAGGCTCTTGCCAAACCAAATTGCGGAACCGGACTTGGACCATATTTATCAGGATGTGTCCCAGCTTCAAAATGCCACCATCTCTTTGGCTTTGCCATCCTGTCCAAAGCCCGAGAATGATGATTTCGTCTTCGGCACAGTCGAGACTCCTGGAATTTACACACTTCAGCCCTGCGAATGCTTCGGAGCGGCACACGCAGCTGCAGCGCCAGTTGATGAAGCTTCAGATGCTGCCGTTCCCTGCAATCAGGATGGCTACTTCAACAACGGTTCAGCTCCTAGGCCAAAGCATACCCTTGCGATAGCCGAGATAATCTGTCAACGATGTAGCCGGAGTAGAGGCTTCGTCTCGGCGTTCATTACATCTCACGACAGATGGAATTTGGGGCGAATCGAGCGCGGCGTGGCGACGACCAAATTCGAGGAGAACCCACCACACAGAGAGCTGACACACCGGCAAACCTGAAAGATTCATTGGAACCAACAATATCACAAAGGATACCAGATTCCATAGTGATATGAGGTATAGACAACAAAATAGACATGGCTCCCACATGAAACATGAAGCTAGCTTTTGGCCTCAGCCTACGCTTCCCAAGTATGTAATTGGCCAAAACAATCAAGTCAATAAAATCTACTAAATATATGCAAATGGTTGAGACAGATTTGGAGGAAGCTCCCAATGCGTCAAAACCTGGACTGACTTGGGGTTCCAATCCTGCGAATGGGGCTTTTGCTGAGGTTCCAGACCAGTTACTCTTCTCGGGGCCCTACACATGCGAAGAAAATGCCCGGGGACTTAGATCGAAGAGCACTTGGTGAAGACTTCGCACTTTCATGCATCCTGATTTCCCACATTTGTTTGTATGGATTTGTAGTCGCAGTTGGTGAGGTACAGAAGTTGAGCTTGGTAGATTTGAACCTTTGAAGAGTTGCCATGAATTCAATCGCGACCTCCCGTCATTGGGAGCAGTTGTCAGAGCATTTGGTCCGGTTTTGGTGGAGCGGGGTATTGAAGAAGTTCCAAGGGATGCTGTTGCCGAAACTGCAGTTGGTAACAAACCCCTTCGGTTTCGCTCGAAACCCTTCAGCCTGCCGCAAGAGACCGCCTTGATGTTTTCTTTACAAAAGCCAATTTGTTTATTGCAGTGCTTTTCGTTTTGCGAACCACATAGCAACTAGCGGTGGATGTGAATACTCGATTCTAGACACCACAAATCGTTCTGTTCTTCAATAGTGTCTTGAAAAACATTGTAAATAGCGGTGTCTTGCGCGGAGTCACTTGCAAAAATACCACATTATCGAAGGTGGCATCGGGTTTGAGGATGCAAAGCTGAGATAACAACGATTGCCACTTACGTGAACTCTGAATACCACCATTGCATGCCGAAACTTGTCCTTTGTAGCTGCTCTTTTCAGGTGTAGTAACGTACGAAGGCGCAGTTCCTTTGCTTGCCAATCATGCCTGGCCCTTTCAAAACTGTCTCTGTGCTGGCAACCAATCATTGCAGCTATCAACCAATCGTTGCAAAGTTACATGGCTTGAAAGGCATCCATTTCGGCACCACTTACGCCGCCGGTTTTCCAAAACGTGGCTAGAAGAAGGACGTGCCTGTAAACACCCATTGGCTGATATTGGCTCGCTCCGCAGTAGATAAGAACGATGAAGTAAGAGGCTCCTTCCGGAACACTCTCCTTGCCCAACAGGAGCATCATGGAGCATCAACCAACATTTGACACTTGGCTTGAACCCCCCTTTGTACTTTGTTCGCCACCACAGATTCAACCCTTCTCGGGAAGACATTGATTTGCGCAACAAAAAGACACAAGGTCAACTTGAATTCATGTTGCCACCAGTGCGGATGTATCTCACGTGTGCGTTCGTCTAAATAGGCATTGCACCAGGTTGCAACTAAATCGCGTGCTTTGCGTGCCTGGCGATTGTTCTTTTCCTGCTGTTCCTGCCCTCTCAGATCTTGAACTGTTTTAAGTCAGTCCGATAGTCAGGTCGATGTGAAGGTTGGTTGCTGACTTGAGCACTTCGAGTTGTAACCTTTCTGCCGGGATGTATTCAAAAGGAATCAGATATTTTGCAAGAGGGTTGAAAACAACCTGTTTTCAACGGCCGACGCCTCGTTTTGGAACGCGAATTCAGCTCGTTTCGGAACCCGGATTCGCCTCGTTTCGGAACGCGGGTGAAATGGTCTCCGGAGGCTAGGAAGTGGTTTCTGGGAAGTGGTTTCTGGGAAGTGGTTTCTGGGAAGTG